GTGTCAACAGGTGCGGATTGGCATTTTATCATGTTCACTTCCGAAGGTATTTTTTGTACAAGCAATAGTGAATATCAGATAAATCTTACGAAAAAGGCACTTAAGGGAAATCAGGAAAATCTGAGAGAGGATATAAAACAGGTAATCAGTATAGTCGTAAGATTATTGAAAGATAGAGTAACCGCATGTGATGAACCAGAATCTAAGAAGAGACGTGTACAAGAAAAAATTATCAAAAAATAGTGGATAGATAGTTTTCCGCTTCACATGTATTTATTTTACATATATTAATAAAATTTTTTCTGATGTATAATACATATTGATAATGATGACATGTATATATGATCGAGAAATTTTCTTGGTAAATTTCGCTTACGGGCCGTGAGGAAAAACACGTGATTTTTTATTTTGAATATATCGCATAATTTGTAAAAAATAATGACAAACACTCATACCATTGATTCATTAAGAGAATTAAATGCTAAACTCTTAGCTGAGATTGCCGAGCTTAGAAAAGAGAACGATAAGATTCCTGTACTTGAGGCTGAGAATGCGAAGTTGAGGCAGATTATTGAGAAGAATGTAAAGCGCGATGCTAGAGTTGAGGAACTAGAACAAAAGAATATAGAGCTGAGACTAGACTCGCTATATTAGAACAGGAAGAAAAAAGTATTTCTACAAAAGATGTTTCGCGATCTCCAGTAAATTCTAACGATACTCTGGCATCTAATATACCTGATAATACTTCAAATTCTAGTATTACTCCTGAACGAATAGAAAATAGCTCCAATATAACATCTGTTGATGCAAAGTATCGAACTTATGGTTCCTCTGATACATACCAGAAAAAGAATAGCCGATCCTCCACGTCTTCTATTATTATAAAAACTACATCATCGGAAGAGAAGAAAATTAATGATTTTCTGGATAGCGTACATAAAGAAACGATTAGTGAGAAAATAAGAGAAAAGAACCGGGAAAAGAACCTTAGATCTCAAGAAAAAGTGCAGAAAATCATGTCAGAAATTTCTGAAAACTCAAGTTCTATTAATAATGATAATATAGATAGGGATGTGACAACTACTACCCAGGATGAAGCGGAATCTCTGCCCAGCAATACTAACTTTACGCTTTTATATGGAAAACTTTGTGATGCAATAATTCTTGCTGATCGTAAAGCCCAAGAAGCTATCACGTGTTATTGCCTATTTGGAAAGGCTATTATTCAGAGACGTAATGAAATAGCATCGGAAAGACAAGTTGATCCAGAATCCAATACTGTTAGTAGAATTTTAAATAAAGAAGTAAAAGCACAGTTACCTGCAGACACTTCTGATAGCCTTTTACGTAAGAGAATCGAAAAAGCAAAGAAGCTTTATAAACTTTTTGATGCAATAGGTATGGATAAAATTTATCGCATTCATTCCTTTTCTGCTGACAGTATATCTAAATTAACAAAAAAGGAAATTCAGTATATTATAGATAATGTATCCTTTGATTATAGCATTGATGTGAGCCTGCCTCTGGCTGAGTTACGGGATGATGAGAAAAGTTCTGTAACCCAACTTTGTGAACCGGATTCACGAAGTGATCAGCAAAATTCTTGTGAGAAGGAAAATAAAAATTCAGAAACATCTACTTCCTCTATCCCGTTGTCTAATACGTCTGATTCGGAAGATATGATAAATGAGGATAACAAATCTTTACCGGAGAAAGAGGTAAGCATATCTACTGGAACAATTTCAAAGGATAAACAAGAAACTGTGAATGATGATAATAATATAAGCGAGAAATCCGAATCTTTACTGGAGGAAGAGGTAGGTGAACCCGATGATTCTTTAGATTCTAACTCGGAATCCTCTGATGATGATGGGTTCTGTGGATTTTCTGACGATGATGATGAAGGTTATTATTATGATTTAAACACCGGTGAAACCTATACAAAATCAGAATATCGTTATTCAATCCGCGCATATTAATAATGATTCCAACACACGTTAATTGATTATTTATATTAAATATTTTTTTTCTGTTGATCATAATAAACGAATATGTCTCTCTTTATATAGTTTCGGAGGTAATGCTAATTTGAGTTAATTTTGCTCTACGTATTACACCCCTTATAATATGTGTCTGACACTAGCTCCGCTATAGTTGTAATGAAGATACGATGAAAGTACGATGTAAGTGCGATGTAGCCACGATAAACTTTTTTTCATATATAATTGTATGGGAAATAAGTGTATCTCAATTACACCGCAACTATTTGGCTGTCATTTTTTTTTGCGATGTGGACTGACGATCAACTGCGCTTATTAATCGACGAACGAAGAAACCGAAATCCCGAGTATCATGATATTCCTGGTAGTAGTAGGGTGGATTTTTGGGTCAACATCGCAAATACAATCAATGAACCACCTATACAGGATATCAATGTAACAATAGATTTCAAAATCTTGTGTCAAAGACACTGAGTTTCGCTCATTTCAAATTCCCAGAAATTCGCTATTACTGTAGGAGAAAAAAATCCTAACTCTATTATTTTGATGTCTGCATAAATAAATTTTAGACAAGTCACTGTCTCAACGAAGTGAGGATGCGAGATTGGCTTTGATAGCATTCTTTTCTCCGAAATATAAATCACAAATAAAAAATTTTTATATAGAATTAAATGTCTTAAATTTTCCGTTAGTCTTCACGTCTACCACATTGACATCGTTCCCCAAAAGCTCAACCTCACATGACATCGCTTGTTGCACTTCAAATTTAAGTTCGGATAATATCAAATATGTAGTAATAGAATGCAGTGGTCATGTGACGACAGAATTCCGAGATCAAGTTTGGCACTTTTTTTATATGTAGTATTATAAGGCATGATCCGCTTTGTAATTACGTAATAAGGTTTTGCCCATATCGGACTCGCCTATTTTTTAACTTTACAGGCTTTCCAAAAACATCAAAATATCACTTTATACCGGTACTGCAAATACCAGTTTTAGTAGTGTTGGTTCAACAAGAAGAACAAGTATAAGCGCAAGTATAAGCGCAAGTACAAGCGCAAGTACAAGCGCAAGCTCTGTCGCCACTGCGTAAGTATATATGTGCAATTGTTACTCCTTATCTTTTTTTTCGCTAACTTTCGTCGATATTCTTAGGAATAGTACTGATGCGGTTCCAGGAAGAATGCCAGACTATAACTATTATCGAAACTTGTGGTGGGATAAGGGAGAATTTAATGAAAAAGCGAAATGGGAAGAAGTAGCGTAAGTTTACTTGTTTGGTATTGAGATTTTTTGAGCCAGTTGCTGATATAAATTGTTTATATTAAGCCTACCGTATGTACTTGCTACGGGCATCACCCTAGAAGATTATGAAGAACGTGTAGAAAAATTTAACATTCACAGATGCTGGGAATGATCGAATGGAGAAGTAATAATTTATGAACTTCCTTCTATGCCACATGAAGTTGTTATTGACGCAGTTACTAGGATGTTATTGCATCAATGCGATGCCGTTGCTTTTACCGATGCTGAGATTGATAGTTTAGGTGCTACTAGTAAGTATTAATGTTATAACTGTTTGTGCGTACATCATATTAATTTTTATTTCTTAAAGGAACACGTGACATAAACCGTGGAAAAGAAGCAGATCAATCGTTTCGTCCGATAAAACCAGCCGTAACTGCACCAAATGGGTGCGATGGAAATGTAATAATTTCTGTTCTTTTTATTGGTTTTGAACTTTTTAAAGCTAGTAATTTCATATACCTTTTTTATTTAGGATCTCCCTTGGCCAAATTTGGTTGTGGAAGTAGCCTATACTGAAACATTAGCTCATGTTGAAGAAACGTTGCGCTACTGGTTAAGTCCTGGTCGCGCCCATGATTGTATTATTATAAAAATCGATCCGATTCCCCAAGGCCAAGTACCGGTCCGTATGAGGGTAAGTTATATTTATACAGCATAGCAATCATATTATTTATATAACATTCTAAGATTTTAATTTATTGTAGGCTTGGCATTACTGTGTCTCAGCAGGTAGAGGAACGAGAAATACAGTTCCTCTTGTAACTACGGTAATGTTAGACTATAGTGATTCGCCTTTCTGTTAACATTTAAAAAAATCTCTAATGTATGTATAATGATTATTAGTTTGAATTTGGAACTCAAGATGGCACGGGAACTGCAACAAATATTAATCAAGGTCAATGCATTATTAACATATCATTAAGCTGTCTTTATCATGAGTTGAAGCCTCCTACCCAAATCCCTCAAAATCTTCCTGATCCTATCCCACTGGATTTCTACTTTGCTCAACGTGCCGTCACACGAGCATTTAACATTCACTAGAGGAATACCATACTACTTCACACGATATTATAGCATTAGTTTTAACAAGTTTTTTTTTAGCGTGTCATGTGGATTGACACTGTTTGGTTATATTTTAATTATCTTACTAAGCATACTATATTGGAATCGTGATTTTGATGTGATGTATCTGTTAACGTTTACTGCTAAGTTCTGTTACTGATAATTGGATGTATAGTGCTATACTATTTCAGGATGATCGCAAATCTATGATATACATGTACATGTATATATTAAAAAAAATGTAATAATTTTTTCTTGTCGCACAGACGTAATTAAAGTTTTAATCTTATTCAATTAGACCCAATTCTTGAAGATGTTCTGGGATAACTATACATGGGTCTTCATAATACCAAACATATCTTAGAACAATCCAGTTTTCTTCACATAATTCTTTCTTGAGTTAATCCCGCTCTTGCTGTCTAATAAAATTATTGGGATTTCCTTTGTGAAAGAATTTGATATATTTTTCGTGTTGTTCTCCTTGTACTTCAATTGCAAAACCATATTCTGGGTAAAATATATCAAGTTGTAGACCTTGAGGGGATTCAAACATTTTTAAAAAGTCTGGCCAACGATTTTCTGACGGACACCATGAATTATACTATTAAAAGATGTATACCAAGTATGCTCTTTATCACATTTCCAATAATATTGATTTTTAGATTTGGTATAATTTTTAGAAAGACATTAAATAAGCAGTTTTTTGTAATTCGCCAAGATTTAACTTAAACCCACATTTTGCACATTGTGGACACCATGTATTATGATTTTTTATATTACCAAGGGATGCATACCATATATGCGATTTATTGCACTGCCATAATAATGGAGTTATAATATTAATATATTGATTGGAAAGACATTTTCCATCACGATCTTCAGCAATTATAATAGCCTCTTTCAAGGTAAGACGAATATTACCCGCACAATGTGGATACCATTTACCATGATCTTTTATACGATTAAGAGATGCTGACCAAGTGTGTCCTTTTTTGCATTTCCATTCTAAGGGACTTTTGGCATTGATATACTGAGTAGAAAGACATTTTCCATTACGTTTTTTAGCAGTTATTTGAGCATCACTTAAAGATAATTTTTTGATTATAATAGATTGTTACTTTTAATATAAAATCCACAGGCTGGATACTGATAGCTATTTCATTGGGGAATAGTAGCGAATAAGATGTTAAAACCATCACTCTAACTTCAAATTGGCAGGATCGATCAGCTTCTCAATAATATAAGAAGTGGCAAATAGATGCATTATATTAATGTGTCAATAAATAATGAAAAAAAAAACAATTATTGTGATTATCAAACCTTGGTTTATTCATCCAATTTTAAAGCAGTATCCCAATCAAGTCGTACGCTTAAAGGATCGTTTACTGCCTTGGTAAAATCAAAAACTATGAATTCTCGATCCCGCAAATACTTATCAATAATCTTAGATGCTTTTTTTGGATTATTGGTATATTGTCGTACGATTCTATGAATGTCATCTCTAGATCTACTTTCTCGGAATAGGGCTAAGTGTGAGATATTTTCACGAATAATTTTAGGTGTTTGTGTATATTTCTGTGATACATATATTGGAGAGATATTTTGATGCCGACCACTAATGAAATAAGAAATAATTTGTTCTTGCATCTTTTTCGATTCGGCGCATAGATCCTCAAATACAACAACTGTACTTCGATCTGGTGAGAATTTTGTTATATCTGGAATTTTATCTGGAGATACCCTTTTAAATGTGACATCTTCTCGATACGGTTTGGGGACATTCGCAAAGATCTGAAAGCTATTTTGTACAAGTTGCCATTTAGGTTCAAAATCCTTGCCTATTAATACAAGATCATCATTTCTAATATACTGCTCACCTTTTTTTCCCTTGAACATGCGTTGTAGTTTGTTAACAAGCATGAGATTTATAATCATGTTAGTTTTTCCACTATGGGATCCTCCACATACCAGTAATCTGAATGGATCCTCTGATGAATATTTATTATCTTTCATTCATTCTGAGATATTATTAAATATCTTATCAATATTGTATACAAATATAGGCATGCCTTTATCTTTCATTCTAATCAAGATAAGCAATATTTATTTTTTATATGATAAATAATCTCTCTCTTGTAATTTGCTTTTTATATAGGGAAATAAATCACAATTGAATGAGATATAAATAAGATCTATATCTTCTTGAGCATATATATCCCACTTTTTTTGATCACGCATCTGTTAACTATCTAAGTCTATCTTATCTCGCTTATAGAATATTGAATTCTCAGAAAAATGTTGAGATTCCTGGAATTTATATGCCAATTTTAGCTCTTCATTATACCTATCTAATTGCATCCCATTCAAAAATGACAGTTTACAAGATGGAAATTTCTTACCTAACAGATCTTTAAAAATATATCTACAATATTTCTCATTAATATGGTGAAAACAAACTGGACATCATTCAAATTTATCCTTCTGGATCTTATAAGATGTTTCTCATAGATGGAGTTCTTTTTCACATGATTAAAGATATATGTTTAGATCATTTATATAATCAGTTTTACCAAGACATTCCTCATCATGCTTTCTGGCATATTGTTATACTTTAGTCATTTTATTAATAATACAAACAAAATTAACAGATCTGAAATAAGTATTTTCTTCTAATATACTCTGAGATGGATATTAAAGTTTTTCTAAATCTACATGCATGAGCTCTTCAAATACAAATTCCTGCTTTGGAGAATATTTATCATTATTACTTTCAAGAATAAAACTAATTTATCCTTTGTTATCATGATTTTGTAAATTTTATATAATGAAGGACTTCATATTGGATCTGTATTTTTATGATTCTCTAAACCTGATGATTCTTTTTATTCTCCATCAGCTAGCAAATAATAGACTGTATCTTTCTTCAACCTATTCTTCTTATATTTTCCAACAGGATGCTTATATTTTGTAGATGATTTAGATTCTACTTGTTTCAGTTTGATAACTTTTGCTAGAGCTAAATCTTATTTTGATGAATCTGGAGTTTGAATAAGATAAGTTGGATAATTATTAAGATAATTTATTACTTTTGATAAATACTTGATCCATGCTCTTATTAATCTAGAATTTAAGATTATACTTTTAACAGCATATTGAACTTTATATAATATTTTTGCTAGAGTTTTATTGAAGTGTTCTATAAGAGCTAGTTCTTGATGATTATATGCACTAATTACTTGAATTGTAATATTATGCACTTTCATTAATCAAGCAGTTTCACTCAAGAATTCTTTATCATCATATTATAGCAATTGAGAATAGATAAGAGAGTTATTAAGATTATCATAAATTTTCTTAAATGCTTTAACAACTTCAGAACTATTCTTTAATATTAGGAGAATACTTGTCTTAAATCTGCTACTCACATCTATAATTTGTAATACTGCTTTCTATTTTTTATCTTTATAGTAATCATGTGTAAGAAATAAGAGATCACATTGATATATACAATTTGGATGTGAAATTTTACTATAACTAATTCATGAAATATTTTTCAATGATGAAGTGTACTTTTATTATTCATTTTAATTATATAACTATTCATAAATTTTTTTATATAAAAAGTTATATTCTTTATCTTTGATAATATTATACAACTTTTGAGAATTGGAATAATAATCAGTAGGTTGATAAAAAAGCAATTTATAAATTAATTTACTCATTTTTGATATATTTTACTATAGTAATAAACTATGTTTCAGTAAAATTGAGAGATAAGTTAAGAGATAAAATCTTCTTTCTATGAAAGACATATTATAACATAAAAAATAGCTATGATATTTCATCAATCACACTCCAATTGAATATCTTATAGATCAAGCTCTGATTGAAAATTAGAATTGAAACAGATAAATTAAGTTTTGAGAGATGAGTTATCTAATGAAATTTCAATCAATAGATCTAATAAGAAATATATAAATGAGTTAGAATGTAAATATATCAGATATAAGAAAGAAATCTAATCTCTCAATAAAGAACTGGAATGGCTCAAGAATGTTTCAAAGAAAGAAAAGACTAATTTAAGATTGAAAATATTATTTCTTAAAAAAGTTTATATCAAGCTAAAAAAGAAATTAGAGATAAGATATTTTATATCAATAATATAAAGAAACAATTATAAAAATCAGAAGAGCAGATTCAAAATCTAAGATATAAATTCAAAGTTATTTCTTTTCGGAAAAGCTCTCCAAGTTTATATAATTCAGAAGAGAAAGATATAGATATGATGAATCTTGATCTTTTTATACTAATTGATTAAGACTTAACTTGAATTGAAAATTATATCCAAGATACTGATATTCTATTAAATAATCCTATTAATATTATAAATGATATTAGAGATTTTTTGAATACTATCCATCTTAATTATTAAAATATATATCAGGATATAAATGATATTATCACTCAACAAAATAATAAAAATAATCAGATAATCTAGTTATAGCAGGATGTCAATTTCTATAAATAGCAAAATATTAACTTTCAAAATTAAATTAACTAACTTGTTTAGGAGCAAGATACCTTATAAAATTATGTTAATCAACTTATATCAGAATGAGATATCTTGCAAAATCATGTTAATTAACTTATATCAAAACAAGATATCTTGCAGAATTATGTTAATCAACTTACTCAAGATCTTAATAATAGCTAATAAAGATATAATTTGTGAGGATATTTGTGATTTAATACAAGTCTGATATGGGATGAACAATCAAAATTCAAACATGTTCTTAAAATTATTTATAAAATATTTATTCATTATTTAAAATAAAAGCTATAATAATATTGGGCTGATAAAGAATTATTAGAATATAATTGAGATCAATTTTTTGATAGGTATTACAATAAATTTAAGGACTGAAAGGCAAGTCATATCAAGTGAAAAAATAGGAAGCACAATTCATAGTAATTAATTT